ATCTGTATCTAGTGATGAATATTGGTTATTCCCTAATATTTCTATCGACCACTATGTGATTCAATGAATTAGAACATAAGTCATTGGACAACATTTCCCAAGAAAGAATAATCGTTATCAACAGGATTTTTCATATTAACACAGTCATTCAAGAGTGTTATCTATAGTAAAGGTTCTGATCAATTGATTAGTTTAACAGATAACTGGCGAGAAATTACATCATGGGATAAAGCTCTTCTCTATTTTACTTTATTCAATAATAATTATACATTTGTTTGGTTAATTGAAGATGATGTTTTTATTCCAAGTGTACAAGCATTTCGTTCATTACATCAACTTTATTCGAATACTAGTGATTTTATTGTTTCACATAATACCATTAATTTATCAGGTGATACATCAACTTGGCATTGGTCATTGACAGTTGGAAAACTTGTTCCACCTTGTTCTAGTTCAATGGTTAACGTAGTAGGATTAAGTCGACGAATGTTAATAGCTATTGGTGATTATGTTCGGTGGTTAGGCGAAGTACTATTTCATGAATTTTTCTTCAATACATTAGCGATGCATTTAAACATGACTATAGTTACACCAACTGAATTAAGAACTCTTGTTTATCGAAAATCTTATTCTTTACAAAATATATTGAAAAGACCTAATAATCTATGGCATCCTGTTAAAAACTGTACCACACAAAGATTATGGCGTAAAATGTTCGTATTCTTAAGTTAATTAACATTGTTAAGGCTTTCCGCTAAATAAAGTCGCTTTTCATCAGAATTAGCCAAATCAAGATAAACGTGTGGGAAGATAGCTTGAAGTCTGATCTTTCATAAACGACATGATTTTTTACTTGGGAACCTCGTTTTTTTTCTAAAAGTTTTTGATGATTTCTGTCATTATATACTTGAAAAAAATCTTTTTTGTTTTTTCTTTATACTTTTTTCTGATCGGACATTCAAGAGTTCTCGGAAGAGCTTCATTGTAGCCAGTTGCTGATCTTTTTTAATTTGAAGAAACATGACAGAGTACTGTTTTTGATGTTAAGATTTTTAAATATTACTATATAAAAAAGTACTTTTATAATTAAAACACCGTTTTTTGAGAATCCTCTCCAAGACGTTAAATTTTTCATCGCTAAACAAGTAAGAATTTAAAAAAAGGCTTTATCATATCCTGCATCTTAGCATACTTTTCTAAATAAAAAAATAATCAAGTATATACAACGAAGGCTCACAGAAGATTATAGGTTGCCAAACAGGGATGCAACGGTGACGATAACCGTTTTAATCGGTAATTGTTCTACCAGTAACAATTTCTCACTGGTAACCTTTCCAATGGTAACCCGTATAACCCGGTATTAGACTAATACCGACCTATACTTGGGAGAAAAAGCTGATTGCAATCAAATCAATCATTGCCAATCAATATGGGTGGCACTTTATTTCTACATTAACTTTTTGAATCCGGGCGACGCGAATTCGCGTCCTGAAGAACTTTAAAAAACACGGTCTGGTAATTATTTAATGATATGAATTGCATGGAGATTTGTGTTTAGAATATTGGTGCGTTAAGATTGTCTATGCTTACTGGTGATTATTGGTTGTCCCTTAATTTTTTGTGTACGGGATTATTTCTATACAGTAAAAAGGATGGGGGACTGCTGATAGACAAATCGGCTCTATGAAAATTTTTTGATTCGAAACCCAACTATGTTATACCAAAAGAAAGAGCTCGGTGAGTTGAGCATCTT